TTGAGGTGTATATACACCTGAAAGGGGCCCAGGTAGGGTCTTTGCTGCTGCAGCGCCGCCTAGCGGCTCGGGTTTCTGGTGCTGCAGCAGCAGCAGCTGCTGCAGCAGCAGCAGCAGCATCTGCTGCTGCTGCTCGGATCTATCACAGCAGCAATATGCTGCGACGCGATAGCCAATGAAGCAGCAACAACCACTCGGGTGTGTTGCAGCAGGGGCCTGGGGCCCCACCTCGGGGTCTCCAGCAGCAGCAGAAGCAGCTGCTGCTGCAGCAGGGGCAGCAGCAGCAACAGCATCTGCTGCTGGCGATATGGACGTGTCTGCTGAGTTGAGGAAGTGTCTTGCTTCCTTCCGGCATCTGAAGCAGCTGCTTCTCTCTTCTGCTACGAGTCCTCTGCTGCTGCAGCAGCTGCTGCAGCAGCAGCCGCTGCAGCAGCGAATTGTTGCTCTCCAATCTTCTTTTCTCTCATCTGTGGATAGAGCGCTGCCTCCTTCTGTTTCTGCTGCAACATGTAAATCTCTGCAGCTGCTGCAGCAGCAGTGGTCGGATGCAGTTCGCGCTTCTGTTGCCTGCCCTGAAGGCAGCAGCAGCAGCAGCAGCAGCAGCAGCAACAACAGCAGCAGCAGCAGCAGCAGCATTCCGTGTTCTTGCTGCTCTGTTCCATCTGAGGCGGTGCTATACNCAACAGCAGCAGCAGCAGCAGCAGCATTCCGTGTTCTTGCTGCTCTGTTCCATCTGAGGCGGTGCTATACGAGCTGCTGTCTGCTTATGTGCTGCGGCACCACAGCGGTCAGCAGCAGCTGCTGCTGCCGGCGTATGAAGCATCGCAGCTGCGGGAGACAATCGATGCTGGGGACCCCCAGGTATTGCGAGAGCTTCGTGACGTGCTGCAGGACGAGCAGCTGTGCATGCTCTGGTGTATACACTTTATATGCATGCAGGCAGCAGCAACCACCAGCAGCAGCAGCAGCAGCAACAGCAGCGGCCCCACGCTGCAGCAAGTCTGCAGGGATTTTGCTTCTATGCTGCTGCAGCAGCAGCAGCTCGAGGCCAGGCTTCTCCAGCTGTACACGCAGCTCAACGAGCAGCCGGACCCCACAACTTGCTTGTTCAGGCAGCAGCAGCAGAGTGCACAGAGCAGCAACAGCAACAACACCAGCAGCAGCAGCAGCAACAGCAACAACACCAGCAGCAGCAGAAACAGCGCAGCAGCAGCAGCAAATGCTGCTGCTGCCTATGAGCTTCACGAGCTGATGCAGCTGAGGGAGACGCTGCAGCTGCAGGATGCGGTGGTGCTTTGCCTGGCTGCAGCAGGCCGTGCTGCTCGTGCCCTAAGCAGCAGCAACAGCAGCAACAGCAGCAGCAGCAGCAGCAGCAGNCAGCAGCAGCAGCAGCAGCAGCAGTTGCTGCAGTGAGAGTTTATACCGCTTCTGCTCCCTCGTTCATGAAGACAGATTCTGTGGGGCCCTGGCTGCACGCAGCAGCGAGCGGCGATCGCTGCTGCAGAGCCGCAGGCTGCTGCGGCAGGCGCAGCAGCTGGGGGGTTCTTGTGCTGTTGCTGCTGTCTGCGGCATGCCGCTGCAGCAGATCCTAGACATCTGCAGCAGCAGCAGCAACAGCAGCAACAGCAGCAGCAGCAGCAGCAGCAGGGCTGCACTTCTTGCATTTGTTGAGGGGCCACGCTTTGCTTCTCTGCATCGAGACGTGATGAGCAGCAGCCTGCAGGGTCTCCGCGAGGCGCTGCAGCAGCAGCAGCAGCAGCAGCAGAACGGTGCAGCAGACGCAGCAGCATTTTCACAAGGCGGTGAGGTGTATGAGGACCTCCTCTACAGCTGCTACATCGATCACCCCACAGCAGCACCGTTGCTGCTGGCTGCTCATGCTGCTGTTCTTGCTGGCTATAAGAAGCTGCGTAGCAGCAGCAGCAGCAGCAGCAGCAGCAACAGCAACCTGACAGATGAAGAGATTGATTTATTCGTTTCTCAGGCGGCGGAGTTCGTGATGCCTCTGTTGCCGCACGCGCTGCAGCAGCAACTGCTGCAGCACGAGCTGCTGCAGCAGCAGCAGCAGCAACAGCAGCAAGACCCTGTGCAGCAGGAGTTCGCCACTCAGCTGCTGCTGCTGCTGGATGTATGTCTTGCTGTTTTCCCCCTAAAGGACCTGCAGTGCCACGAGCTGTCTGTACACTCCGCATGCGAGCTGCTCGCGCTGCTGCCGAAGCAGCGACGCCGCCTCTTCTCTCTGCTGCAGCAGGGGGGACTTACCTTGCTGCAGCAGCAGCAGCAGCAGCAGCAGCTGCACGATGAAGGCTGCAGCAGCGGGCTCCTGCGGCTGTTGAGGGCGTACATCTCTTTGTTTCCTTACGGGGCTCACCTCACGCTGCAGCTGCTCACAGCAATTCTGCCGCAGCCGCAGCAAGAGCAGCAGCAGCAGCAGCAGCAGCAGCAGCAGCAAGAGGGGGGTGAGGAACAGGACTGTGATATTATTGACATGGGCTCTCCTCTGCAGTTCCTGCTGCTGCTGGCGCAGCCTCTGAGCTCTATTTTGCTGCCTCCAGTTGACGGCTTGGTCTTCGCTGCGAGCAGCAGCAGCGACGAGCAGCAGCAGCAGCAGCAGCAGCAGCAGCAGCAGCAGCAGCGCGGTCTCTCGAGCAACCTTACAGCGGCAGCAGGGGCTTCATATATTGCTGCGGCTCCCATCCCGATTGAACCGTGTCTGGCTTTGCTGCTGCAGCTGGATGCACAGCAGCAGAACCCGCAGCAGCAGCTGCTGCAGCAGCAGCAGCAGCAGCAGCAAATCGGGTTTGATGCTGCTGCAGCAAATGGAGGCGTCATGTGCTGGTCTTTCATATCGTCAGGCTCAAGGGGGGAGGCCGTGCAGCTGCCGTTGTGGCGCTTTGTGCAGACAGCAGCAGCAACAGAAGCAGCACTGCAGCAGCAGCAGCAGCAGCAGCAGCAGCAGCAGAAGGAAGACGACGAAGACAATGTAGAGCAACAAGGGACTGACCCGTGGATGACTCCTACTGCGCGGCCACAACTGCAGCAGCAGCAGCAGCAGCAACAGCAGCAGCAGCAGCAGCAGGCCTTCTGGTGTCTACAGATCGACGGTTGCAGGCTCGAGCCTGTGAGTCTACGCCATCCAGTGTGCAGCAGCAGCAGCAGCAGCAGCAGCGGCAGCTGCAGCAGCAGCTGCTGCACAGACAGTAGCAGCAGCACGTACACAGTGCGGTGGTCTCTGGCTCCGAGCAGCAGCAGCAGCAGCAGCAGCAGCAGCACTCGCCGTCGCTTCTCTCTATTGAAGGCTGCTTGGCTGCTGATGGATTTGGGGCTGCAGCAGCAAACGCACGATGCATGCAGCCCCCCGCTGCCCCCTGCTGCATTCAAGTGAGTTGCGAGGAGACAGCTGGAGACAGAGACAGAGACAGAGGAGGCGGCTGTGTTGCTGTCTCCTTTCCTAGGTACCTTGCTCCTACTGCTGCTGCTGCTGCTGCTGCTGCTGCTTGTTGCTGCTGCAGGGCCTTCGTTGCTGCATGCGGACTGTGGGCTCGCGTTGCTGCGTGGCCTGCTGCTGCGCGGGCTGCAGCAGAAGCCTTTATCGCCTGTGAAGTCTATGGGCACTCTCTGGAGAGTGCAGCAGCAGCAGCAGCAGCAGCANGCAGCAGCAGCAGCAGCAGCAGCACCTGCAGCAGCAGCAGAAGCAGCAGATGACGCAGCAGCACCGGCGCCCTTTCTGCTGCTGCCTCGGTTCTATACTCTGGCTTGCTTAGCTGCCACCCGTAGCCAGCTGCGTTTGCTGCTGCCTGAAGCTCTCACTGCACTCCGGCGAGTTACTCACACCTGTTGCTGCTGCTGCTGTTGCTGCTGCAGTTGTAGCTGCTGCTGCTCTTTCTGCCGTTGCTGCTGCTGTACCTGCTGCTGCTCTTGCTGCTGCTGCTGCTGTAGCTGCTGCTGCTGCTGCTGCTGCAACTGATGTGGTTGCTCGCGTTTCACGGCTGCATGTGAGCTGATTGGTGCTGCGCTGCAGGTCATGTTTGCTGCCGTGCTATGTGGCGGACGTTGACAGGTGTCTTCTCTTCCTGCAGCAGCAGCAGCAGCAGCAGCAGCAGCAGCAGCAGTACGGGCAGCAGCAGCGCGTGGCCTGCAAGTGCCTAGTCGAGCTGCCGCTGCAGCACCACGAGCTGCTGTTGGCTCCTGAGCTCTTGCATTCTGGTTGGCGTCTGCTGCAGTTTTGCTGCGCCCCGCAACAGCAGCAGCAGCAGCAGCAGCCTCGGGGCGTTCTCCCGCTGCAGCAGCTGCTGCAGGCGCTTGCAGCAGCAGTACAAGAAGAAAGAGATATAAGAACGTTCACAGTACTAAGAAGCACCCTGCTGTTTTTGCTGCAGCTGCTGCTGTCGGTACCTCCTGCTGCATGGACAGTCCCCTGGCAGCAGCAGGGGTTGCTAGCAGCAGCAGCAGCAGCAGAAGGCCTCGAGCAGCTGCAGCACAGCAGACGTCGCCACAGCAGCAGGAGTGCAGCAGCCCATGGAGGAAGCAGCTGCGGGGGTGCTGCTGCTTCTGTTGCGTCCCTTGCGTATGTGTATTTGCTGCCGCAGCTGCAGCAGCAGCAGCAGCAGCAGCAGGATGCCTCCGACGCACAGCTGGAAGCAGCAGCGCAGCAGCAAGTCCGCGAGTTTGCTGCTGTATGCAACTTCTTATTCTGTGGTGTCTTCGCCCGCATGCATGCGTGGACCTTTCTACACCCGGAGGAGCGCTGCAGCATCGGGCAGCTGCTGCTGCTGGTGGTGCTGCAGCTGCTGCCGCTGCTGCACTGGGCTGCAACACCGCCCTTACCAGCAGCAGCAGCAGCAGCAGCAGCAGCAGCAAAGGCTTCATACAGGGCCAGTCAACAGAGCTGGATGAGAGCTTCTTGGGGCAGCAGCAGCACCAACAGGCTGTCTGTACACCACAGTGCTGCTGCTGCTGAGACAGGCACTGGCAACGGCGATGCTGCTGCTGTTCGTGATGCTGCTGTGCGGGGGTCTCATAGACAGCTCGAGGTAACATCCCTTCCCTGCTGCTGCTGCTGCCGCTGCTGCTGCTGCTGCTGCTGCTGCTGCTGCTGCTGCACCCGGTGCTGCTACTACTGTTGCTGCTATTAGGTCCGTATCGTC